GGGGGATAAGTAAGAGCAAGTGGCCTTACCTCCGTGGATGTCTTGGTGGTCTTGGAGTGCTGGAAGTGCTGCGCCTGCTGCTGCTGGTACAGATAGGCCTGGTGCATCATGGGAGCCTCGCTGGACACAGTGGACACAGAGGAGAGGGAACTCAGCGAGTCGGTCCGCCCTGAGGCCGAGAATGGCGGGGTCTCATCCACAGGAGGCCGGCCACTGCACCAGATTTCAAATTTCAAAATGATTTCTTGATTTGAAAGGCCTTTGGCCCATACATCCACACATTTTAACATATGGCTCCGCAATTACATACATTGGGGCACCACATCGGTTAACATACATTGGGCACACACGCACACACACACATGCACGCACATATACACGCACGCATGCACTCAAGCAAGCACGAACACATCAACACACATACACACATATACTCACACACATACATACATACATATGTACACACACACACACACACACACACACACACACACGCACACACACACACACACACACACACATACATACATACATACAATATACATACATACACACAGGAAACCAATAGAGATTTGAATACTTTTTTAAAGGAAAAATAAACAAAAAACATTTTGATTTTACCTGGTGGGGAAATCAGAGAATTATGCCAAGTGGGAAGCAGGAGCAGAATAATTTAGAGGAATACAAGTCTCCCCCTCCCCCCACCTCCTTTCTTCTCTCTCACACACACACAGGCACACACAAAAACGCACACTCTCACGCACACAAACACACACACACACAAACACATGCACGCACGCATGCGCACACACACACACAAACACACCCACACCAACACGCACACACATATACACAAAAACACACAAAGTAACAAACTGGCAGATACATCATGAAATACATTTTTCATCTAAAGTGCAGCTACATTAATATTTCTCTTCCCTGAGAGCAACACAAAAATCAGAATCATCAGAGAATCACATAAGCTTTTTATTAAAATTTTAACCACAATCTGCTATAGACATGCTATAATCCAAACAGGCTGACATAAAACGTCAAAAAGCTATATATATAATTTCCGAAGCTTTTTGAAGCTGTTATTGACGTTTAAGAAAAAAAAACCCATAAAAAAATAAAAACTTCACCACCTCTCTGGTCACAAATAAAAAGCATGAAGAAGAAACAAAAAACTTTAAAAACTTTTAAAGAATAAAAATATGAAATAACACATTTGGAACTACAATTAACAGTGATAATTTTAAAAATTTGGTTTTAATTCCACTTTTTTCAAAGAGAGAGGAAAAGTTATGTGGTAGCCCATTTTACTATTTTGTTTTTTGGGTTTTATTTTTAACCATTAATTATAATGACAATGTAAAACAACCACCTGTCACTTTTTTCCTTAACAATGAACAGCTGCCTTAGACAATTTAAACTGTATATGTGAGGCATGCTGACAAAATGAGTTACTTCTCGTAATCCACAAATGGAGACATTGGCCAAAAATCGACATAAGGGTCAAACTTGTCGATTTTCAATTGATGCCATATTCTTTAACTATAACCTGTCTTTTATTATTTCATACTTATAAACTGTAAAAACTTCACCTATAAGCATGATGCATCTATTTCCTTAGGCCTGAATCTGAAAAGTAACTCCTATTGTCAGCACGCTTCACATATTATCTCTACGTACCCATGTACAGGACTGTAGGGCGTCATGGGCTCGTCACTATCGGAGGACATGTGCCTGCCCCCGCCAGCTATGGTGGTGTTCACGGTCGTGTCGATCTGGTTCAGAATGCGGTGTGTGGCCGACCGCTCGTAGTTAATCATGTGCATCAGGCGGCCCGCCTCTGTCGAGTGCACCACATCTGGAGGGGCTGAGTTCGGATCCGCTGCTATCCCTTCTTGTTCATCAAGCATAATCTGTTTGAGTTAAGAGATGTTTAGTTTTAGTAGAGGTTTTACGGCGCTTGCAACTGCATACGGTCATATGAGCGCCAGAAGATTAGAGGTGTTACAAGAGAGTATCAAACATAAAAAAGAAGAAAGGGAAATAAGGACAATAGATGTTTGACAGGAAAGAAGAAGCAAACCACACCAAAGCACCCGCCAACCACCCACGAGTAAAGAGAAGAAAATAGACAGAATAATGTTCATATAGTGAAGGGGCAAAGCATAAGGTCATATGAGCGTTAAGGGGTGGGAGTCAACAGAGAAATCTTTACAGGGAATCAGACTTAGACTGCTCACCTCTCTAGCTTCAACAGCACAAGGTCTGCTTCGACTATCAAGGCACCCCGGAAATAGCAGGTCACAAGAGAGTGATAAGCATACAAAAGGAGTAGAGGAAAATGACAATAGTAAGGATCAGGAAAGAAAAAGCAGCAGT